AAAATTAATATTAAAAATAATTAAAATAATTAATAAATAAATAAATATATATTTTTAAAAATTATTAATTAATATTTTAAATGATATTTTTCATTATAAATATAATTTATTATAAAAAAACTAAAATCAATTTATATATATATTTATATAAAATTAGCTTAATAGATATATAATATATATGTTTTTAATATATTTAATGCGTCCGGATCCGAATATCCGGACCTTAAAATTTTGTTATCCGGATCCGAATCCTCTTTTCACAGATCCTAGATTTTACTATTTTTATCCGAATCCGGGCTCCCCGGATATCCTAATTTTCGGAGTGATTTCGAACGGATAACGGATCAGTTCTCGGATCCCGGATAATAATTCCACCCCTATCATTTATAAAACATTAGAGACGTTAAGTGTTCATGAATGTTATGTTGTTGTTAAACCTGCTTTGGTCAATAACAATGAATCCCAAACTTACCATCAGTCATGGTGAGATTACATATGGGAGTATTAGGTGAATATTACAAATATGAGTTAAAATTAAGAACATAACATTACCTTGGGTCTAAATGGTAACTGATTAATGTGTAGAATTTGAAGAATAGGTAGAATTTGTAGAATTTTGTTACTAGTTGATGATTGAAGAATTTGAAGAATTTGAAGAAAAAAACAAAAGTTGAAGAATTAGGAGAATTGGTAGAATTGGAAAGTTGAAGAATTTTGTTCAATAATGAGTAACCGACAAAAATCAATGAATTTGTGAAGAAAAAAAACAAAAAGTTGCAGAATATTTTGTTTGGACAAGTGGGCTAGTTAACATTCACGTGAATAAAGAAGACAGTTTTCATAATTGAAAGAAAGTCATCGGTGAAGAAACATTTGGCTATAAAATCACATTGAGTGAAACAAGTACATTCATACTCTCGTGAAGAAAAAAAAATTGAGAGGCTGGAAAAATAATTCACTTTTGCTACTTTATCAAAACGTTGAGAAAAATCGAGTAAGTTTACATTATTTGTGTATAATTCGTATAACGTTTACATATATCATCATTTAATATTTATAAGAATGTTTTTTCATACTACAATATTTATTCCACAAATAACATAACTTAACTGAGTTATATATTTTGTTAAGTATTTTTCAAATACCTTTAAATTGAAGAGCATGAATATTGTTATAATTAGTTCTGATTAAAATTTTTAGTTATCAAATTTTTTAAAAAATTTAGTTGCATTTATATAAAATAATTGATTACTTTTAAATAAATTTCTAAAAACTATATATAATCGTAAATTTCTAAAAACTATACATAATCGTTTTTGTTTAAGAATTGAACATAAGTATTTATATTTGAATTTATGCATCATTAAATATGCTCTGAGAATACTAAGTATTTTTTAACTTCTTGAATATAGTATAAGTACTAGTATTTTACAATCTTTTGTGATTGGTCAATTATTATTACCATTTAAGTTTGAAAAAAAAAATTACTTTTTTTAAATTAATTACTTTTTCAATATTAAGTACTTTAAAATTTTTTTGCAAATTCAGCAAATTCTGCTATTACCATTTAAGTTTGATATTATTCAGCAAATTTCGCAAGAAATCAGCAGTAATTCAGCAAATTCATCAAAAATTCAGCGGTTACCATTTAGACCCCTATGTCAGCTGAGTAAATGACATAAGTCAAAATGAGAAAGTTTTAAGAAATGTCAAAATTACCCCCTAAACATGTGCACGAACGACCGTGAGTATTTTTTTTTAAAGCAAAACCAAGTAAAAGTTTTGGCACAAACATTTACTATCTAGTATTGCTTGTGAATAATATCTTTTATTTTATGAGGCAATTTTTCTTTTTTCTGTCTCATCTCGTATCTTCTTGTGATTTTCAATTGAGAGAATGAGTGCACATATTCATGTATTTTGTAGTGTAGTCAACATTTGATATTTTTTGCATTTGTTCATCGATATGTCTTACAAACGATATTGTACAATTAATTAGAAACGATAAAGTTTAGTTGAGTAACTAAAACCTCTCTCTAACCTCTTTCTAAAACATTAAAAACTCTCGAACCTTCAGTTTTTCAGATCTAATCTAGTGTTTCCGGCCGGCGATTTTGCCGGTTCGGTTTGTAGATATTTTAGATCCAGTACTTTCGTCTTTCGAATATAGTACTTGCTGTAAAATATTTCCATTTAGCAGATCTCTACTTCCGATTTTGGTCGGATTTTGTTTTCTCTTTACAGGAACTGCTTGTGGTCCTGCTTCTGAAATTCTCACTCCTTCTTCTGGTACCTGTCCTCTCTGGCTGGGAGTTTGATCTCCCCTATATCTCCGACTTGAAGCCTCGATGAAAGGTAGTGGGTGATTGGCTTTTGCAGTGACGGTCGATGGTGTTTATCAAGGTGGTGAGATGTTTTCTGGGCAACATGCGATG